GTGTGTGTTTCTTCTTTTTTAGTAGTGCCAAAGATTGGAGGCATTACCAGAGGGTAACAAAAAAGAAGGAGGGGATATAATGACGATAGATGTTTGATAGGGAAGAAGGAGCTAACCACACCAGAGCACTCGCCAACCACCGAGAGATAGCAACAGTTAAAAGTATATCAGCTTGAGTGTGAGAAGAGAAAGAAACACTTGTTGACCTGCTATTGCACTAATTATGAGTGAATTTGTTCAGGTGTTCTGCAGCACAGATCACATCAAATGTTGAGCTTGAAACAATAGGACTAGGTAAACGTTTCCATTACTTCCAAATAATGAGAGAGAGAGAGAGAGAGAGAGAGAGAGAGAGAGAGAGAGAGAGAGAGAGAGAGAGAGAAAGAGAAAGAGAGAAAGAGAAAAAGATAGAGAAAAAAGAGAGAGGGAGATGGGCATGGCAGACAGAAAGAGAAAGCGAGAGCCATTTCAGAACCCCAAGTTGATAGACAGCGCTGCAACATTTCTACATACACCAGCATCATTTACATTAAGACTGTCTCAGACAGTATACACTTTATCGCTTTATCGGACAAAAGTGTGTATCAAACTCTCTACTTTTTCTGATTGTCATCAAATGCTTTACCTCTCAATTAGTTCCCAGTTTCACTGTAAAAGCATCAAAGCTCATTATAAACTAGCACTCAAGCCGATCTAAAATATGAAACAACGACACAATATTGAACAGATTCTTCTGTGTTGTCAATGAATTAATTTTGCCACAGTCAACACCCTGCTAACTGAAACTATTGACACGACAGATCTTACACTTGGCAAGTCATTCTCACCATCATCTGTGATTCAGCAGAGAGTAAGGCTCTTCGCTGCTCAACACAGAGGAATAGATTTCAAATCCAGAAAGTGGAAGTCTTTTTTATTGATGATGAATTTGTTTGTTTTTGTAAAGTGTTTTACGGCGCTCGCAACTGCATAAGGTCATATGAGTGCGCGGGACACACCTAATATTTTCAGTTGGTAGGAAATTTTGAATTTTGCTCGGGAGGCGGCCGAAGCCTACTCTTATCGATTTTAGACCACAAGGGATCTTTAACGTGCGCAACTAGCACACGGGCCCTCCCAGATTTTTCGCCCTTGTCCGAGAAGGCTAGGTGTAGATCTTTTGATGATAAATATCCCGTCAGCCCACTGGAATGTTCTATCCGACCCACACCAGTTAGCAGGTTAGCCTGACAGGAACGGTCAAACCAGCGCGTCTCCTTTAGGACCTATCTTGTGTTAAAGGGGGTGTAAAACATTTATAATCCTTACATTCCCAGTGTGTCTCTCACCTGTGTGTGACCAGTTTGACCACTGGTGTGTTCACACCTTTGATGACGGTGGAAGCGTTGAGGTGACTGCGTCCGCTAAGGTTCATGCCATTCACCTGGAAAAAAACAAAACAAAACCAAAATAAAATTGTTATCATCTTTGAGCTTACGGAATGTCTTGGTAATATCTTGAAGTAGGCACTGGTTATTTATTGAACGTAAGGGCTAAAGGTTTCGAAATGAGGACCCGAGTGATGGTGTATTATTTTTATTTTTAATGAAAATATTCTCTGATAAATCAACTGGAAAAATGATGCACCATTCAATAACGTAGAAGCAGCGTCTCTCTTGAACATCTTTGAGTGCTTTGTCCTCTGCTGGTTATTTGAAAAGTGCTTAAAGGACAATAGGACAAGGCTCTTAAATTCTTAGCATACAAAGTGCTTCCTGTGTGATCC